TGACCCTCAAGTATGACTTTCGACCATATCGCATTCCAGGAGGAAGTTGCCGTGGCGGATTCGAAGGTCGTGGGTTCGAGTCCTGAAGGAGATAGAATTTTTTTTTTTTTTTTCAGAAATAACCTTGCTCTCAGGTTGACCCAGCCTTGAGTAGCACCAGGCGCAATCCTGGGAGTAAAGGCCAGCGTGATGCTGACGACCACATCACTCACCAAGTGCCGATCGGTTTCTGTTTGTTGTTGTTTCTTGGTGTTATTATTATTAATGATATTTTATATTGCAGTATTATTTATACGAAGACTTATTAACACCTCCCAGTAATGATGCAATGAGACCTGAGGCCATAACTGATGTATTTTGCTTACTGTTGCTCTTCTGTGAGAATTCTTATTCAAGTAGGTGTCGTGTGTTTGTAATAATTTACATGATTTGTGTATTTTTTAAAGGAGATTGTACTTTTTTTTTTCTTCTAATTTGTAATTTAAATCGCGACACTTGGTGGGTGTCACACTGGTAAGTAATCCCTCTTTACGTGCAACAATTTCAATGTGAATAAGCGTAATGCTTCTTTCATACAGTAAAAGTATACACTGCAACACAAAATCCACACACAGAAGTTATGTCGCTTTATTTAAATTCTGGGGATGTTGTGTTTTTGGGGATTTTTTGTTGTTAGTTTTTTGTAAAGACACTTTACTGTGAGCACTAGCATCTTTTTTTCTGACACTTTGCGGTGAGTGTCTGCAGCTGTTTTAACACGCAAGTCTATACATTTTAACAGTGCCGATAACTGAGTGAAATTTCTCGCTGTTTCAAATCGAATAAATTATGAAACTGATCATGACATTATCAACCAACCATTTGTTTTTTAAACTTAGTAATATATCTGGTAACTTTATCTATTTATTCATTTTCCCTGTAGAGGTTTTAATGTAAGTAGTTGGAGGTCTCTGTCAAGGTTTGGCTATGACGCATATGCTCCACTCCAATGATACACAGAGCTTGGTTTCCAAAGCGGTCTTCATGGGAGGATTTTGAAATCAGCGCGTCCCTATCACTGCTAAAAATTAGAGAATTCGGAATCACGTTCGGCACAGCCAGCCTTGAGAGGTCACCGCCCATTCTAGAACCTTGCTAGCCAGCACTGGCAATAATAACGTTGGGACGTTAATGTGTTTGTTAAAGTGGTAATCTGAACACCTATGAGCGTGTTCGGAGTGTGGTGAAGATAGCGAACTCATAACTTATGTTTCAGCTTGGTATCCACTTGATTGATGCCTGACCAGACCTGTGAGCTCTCTTCCTTAACTCTTTGAGTCCCAAGGAACGCATCACACGTTCATATGCTCCTACATAGAAGCCCAATGAACGCATGATGCGCCGATTTTATTATTTTCTTTACTACCCCCTGGGCCTGTGATGCTAAACCCCCTGGGACTTAAAGAGTTATGGATGTCGCTACTAAAATGCCGCTGGACTCACAAACATGCATCTGCAGTTTCATGACTTATGAAAGAAATAGTGGTCCTCATTACTTTTGATGGGTGAACGAACGAGCGAGCTAAAATTCATGTTTGTAACACATGTTCAAAATTCTTGGCTGCCCGTCCAGATGGAGAACTTTCAGTACCTATACACCTCTAAGTATTTATAGCAGCCTTGTTTAATAAAGAGTTAAATACCCCCTTACATCTTATGTATGGTTCCACTCACCGGGATTTGTTCTTTTTTCCTTTCTTTAATAACGTGGTGTTTGAAGGTAGGGATTAAGTAGTGGACTGTCTCAGATTCATTAGGAAACAATTTGTGTCTGAGAGATTACAATCTATAGAAAGATTATGAGAACGCCGTCGAACAGAAAGAAAATAGATATTGGCGTTTTCAAAAGATCTGTACCTATGGAAACTGGTTCGTAAACTACATCTTGTCTTGGAAAATCAAGTGTTTTCTCCAAGCGTCGGTTGCATTGGAAAGCATGTCACGTGGGACTTGTACCAAGAAAATTGGAGAGGGGTAGAAAAGTACAAAGATGAGCAAATCACTTATAAGGTACCTTTTTACACAAACAACAAAAAACATGAAGAAAGTTTTTTAGCTTCTTTCTGGTATGCTGTGATGGCAACGACGCTTTGTAAAGAGGGTGATGACGATTGAATGAAGAACAATTCTAAGTATGTAGCCAAGCGTCCTTATGTTGCACTGTAAAGATGTGTTGTCCCGTATGCTGTTTACTGCATTCACCAGGCTGTCCTTCTGGCTGGTTTGGATTTCAGTGTAAGTACAAATGCCGATGTATCAATGACGCCTGCGATGCCGTCGGCGAGTGTACAGGCGGAGGCATTTGTCAGGGCGGGTGGTTCGGTCCTGCTTGTCAGTACGGTAGGTGACGGCATAAATTTTATCGTCTTGTATTTTTCATTACACACCAGTTAGACCTGTATCTGAACGTTACCGGCCACACAGCATGGAGCATACCTTTCCCTCCCTTTCTCAGCATACTTTATGAGCCAGTTATAATTAAGAAAAAAAAAAAAGGGGGCTGGTCGAACGGTTAGAACGCTGGGCACTTAGGCCCCGTGGGTTCGAACCCTCGCTATGGCAACATACAATTATCACCTTTACGGTCGTGACGACAGCACTAGCCATGCGGCCGTAAATTCTCAGGCTTAAAGACCCCCCCCCCCTCCCCCCACCCTTGTTGCACCAAAAAAACTGTTTAATACAGGCAATAATTAGCGATTTGGCAGTTTTTTTTTTTTTTTTTTAAATTAGATTTGGTTCTCTTACTCAGGCGCTTCATAGTAACGCGCTTCATAATGCCTGGTTGCCTGGATCTTTTTCTTCTTCGCGTTCACAAGCTGTACACTCTAGCAGAAAGTTCTGGTTACTCGTCCACTACTGAACTGCAGTTGTACAGATCTCATTGTCTTGAATACAGACTGTTGGTTCCTTGCTTCTCCGGCAGATGCACTCCGACTTCAAAGGAAGCTCCCCAATCAGTCGACTCTTACGACATGCTTTTTGGGGAGGCAGTGGGTCTATTTTTGTTGTCCCCACATAGGAGCTCCGGAACCCACACGGGGGGCTGCCCGGTTCGATTTTCGCTGCAGGTTTTTGGGCTTTTTGTCTAAGCGATGAATTGGACAGTGATACGTGGAGCTGACCGTCCACTGAAACGGAACGTTGCATTTGCCTAAAAAGAACGAAAAAAAAAAAAAAAGAAACAGCCACACATACAGAACACACACACACACACACACACACACACACACACACACACACACACACGAGTTGGGGTTGGTTCCGTAAAGTCCTGTAAAGGATACACAACTAACTATTATAACCAAGACGTGTACAGTTTAACATAAATATGTTATAGCCTTCGACAACCTCCAACCCCCTCCCCTTTTCACCCACCATCCCTCTTTCTGTTTGTATATCTACCTTATATGCAAATATTTAGACAAATAAATGTTATAAACTTTTATTTGCCCTCGCATAGGCACACTCGAGGATTTATTGAGGAACCTTAATTAACCAAAGCCAAATCATGATACATAATAATATTTTTTTCGCTCGCCGTCTACTCCCCCATTCAGCTCTGTTCTGTGCAATTACTTCGTTATTATAAAGGAATTTAAATACAACACATATGGCTTTTCTTATTAACGATGAAGAAAAAAAAAATGTCAAATACTAATATTCATTTGTAAGTTAGATTTGTTTCAAATCTGTTGTCTTGCATAACGTCTTTAATTTCTAGTACTTTTTTGTTCTGCTATTTGTTATTCGATCTATGAAGTTTCTTCATGGACTTTCTGTGCCTATTGATTTTTCCATTGTTATACTGTATGCTCTTGCAGCCGGTGGCTCTGTGCCTCCTCCCCGTACCCCCACCCCCCCCCCCCCCCCTTACACAAACACACACAAAGGTGGCTAACCATTACAGTCTTTTTTATTCAATGCAACTGATTACAGATGTTATTCCAACAATTCTAACAAAATCTTCTTTTCTCTTACGGTCACATACTTTATGTTGATTGCTTTTCTCAAACATCTAATTTGAAATGACGTTGCTTTACCTAATGATTGTCTTTCTGAGACCGGTACTTCTCTTTCAGTCTGAAAAAAATTCCGTCCAAGTGGTATGGTTATGGAATCGTAAACTGTCAACTTGCCACAACCAGCTCAAGGAGAACTAAAATGATGTGTGTACACTGCTCTAGTTAATGTTACTTTTTGTCGCTAAGATTTTAATGTGGAAAGTGTTGGTTTTTCACCACTTTAATGTGAATATAAAATCTAGACACTCCTGTTAAAACAACAAAATGACAATTACAGTAGCAGTAACAAAGACCGGTCTGAGACCAGACATGGCCCTGCACTTTGGTGAAAAACGCCAGCTCAAATGATAGAACTGACCGTGCCCTTTGGTGAGGAAAACGCTTACAGCGAAAAGTACTATGATCAGTCTGAAACATGAAGCGACTCGTGCTCGCTACAATGTCGTGCAGATCCACTTCCACAAAATCACCCTTACAAACACGAAAAGTACTATGAGCAGTGAGCTGGCTTTGGACGTAATTGGGTGGTCAGTCCGATAAAAGTTATGACAGTGTCCTTATATATATATATATATATACCTCTCACGATACTTTTTTGCAAAGTCACCATCTCGTCTTGTCCCCTGCCGAAAGTCCGATAACATTCAGAAAGGGAAGATAGATGCCTGGCGTCATAAACCAGGTCGGTCCACCTTCCGAGACTATAGGAACTAATGGGTCTAAACAATAGTCGACGATAGATCTCTCTAATGATAATTAGTGGACCCGTGCTGTGCATAATCTCCTGTGGACTTCTTATTGCTAAGCAACGCTACAAGCAGCTAGAAATGCAGGGGTTGGGTTGCATCTCTATGACAGGGACACAAAATAAGTTGTTTGCTGACATCGGGATTATCTTAAATTTCTTCTTTCAATGTCTGCTTACAGCCGATCTAGCTTACGGCACAGTGAGCGATGCAGTTGTAGTAGACGGTAATGACAGCACATGCTTGGCTGGTGCCAAAACAAAAGTTACCGTCCAGTTGACTGATTCATTTCCATTTACCTGGCTCAGAGTCAAAGTTACAAACCAGGGTATGTATGGATGCAAGCATGCATGCATGTATGTGTTTAAGTATTGTCTATGCTTGTTAAAATGTATGTATGTGTGTGTGTGTATATATATATGTATGTATATATTAGGGCTGTACCGAATAGTGATTTTCACTATTCGGCGAAATACGAATAGCTGGACCAATTATTCGGCCGAATACGAATACGAATACGAATACGAATACGAATAGTGAATCATCATCATCATGTGCTTTGCCGCCTGGCATGGGCGATTATGCCTCGCCATAATCTGCGATCTCCTGCAGCACGTATTAGTTCGTGTGCTGACACAACTCCATGAAAAACCTTCGTTCCATGTTGTCAGCATTAGGGCAGCTTTTTTTTTTCTCACTGAAGATATTTCCAGCTGTACTAAACAGGAAAATACCACAAATACAGAGAGTCAAGATAAAAACCCGCAAGGCGAAACATCAAAAACAAAAATAACGCCGACGAAAAAAACAATGCCGTCCTCACAAGTCGCCCAGCCCCTTCCCACCCCCCCCCCCCTCCCGCGAGCTCAAGGATTCAACGGAAACAAGATAGCGACATCAAAGACCACCGCGGCCACGGAGACGGAGCAGCCAACACCTGAAGATCAAATAACGAAAAAATCATTGCAGACGAAAAATCCAGACGCCGAGAGGCCAACGCCAGAAGATCAAACAACAAAGACAACGAAGAAACCGAACGTCGATCAAAACATTTAGCCTCTGCGGTTTCCACCAGATGACGAAAGAACAGTTACGACACCCATAAATGATGACAAACTCCCGTTACTTCAAACAATCAACGAAGAGGACTCTCCACTCAAAGAAATCAAGCCGACAACACTAGAAAACTTGCTTTTCTGCACTTCTTACATCTTTAAGTGTTGCATTTTGTTTCTACAGCAACACACCTAAAAACACTATACTCGCAACACATACAAGATGGAAATAAAGGGGCACTTGGTACGCTAGTAGGTGGTGCACAAAGATAACGCTTGACAGTATAAACCTAGGTGGGAAATCTTGATGTTTTTTTTCCACCAGTCCAGAAACGGTTGTAACCACTATTCGTATTCGCCCCGACCGCAACTATTCGGCCGAATACCGAATAGTTATTGGGTCCACTATTCAGCCCCGAAGCGAATAAAAAGTCTTTCTATTAACACCAAATTCATCTACAATCATCTTCACAGTTGAACAACGATTTTCTTATATCCGTTCTCTGACTTTTGCAATGCGATCCTCATTACGAACAGAAATTGGGCGTCCAGTCTAGTTGCATTAGTAATCTCCTCCACACTACTTTTGAATCGTGAATACCACCTGAAAATCTAGGAACAAGATGAAAAATTATCCCTAAAAACTCGTTTCATCAATTCAGCTGTATTAATGGCGCTTTTTCTGAGTTTTAAACGTAATTTAATGTTGGCTTTCTGCTCCATGTCTGATTATGTAACAATGCTTCTCTAACTAGTTCAAACAAAATGCTGCTGTTTGCTGTGTATGTTATGATGTATGTAGTAGTATGTATGTACCTATTATGTATGTAGTAGTATGGATGTATGCATGTATGCATGTATGATATGTATGTAGTATGTCTGTATGTATGTATGTATGTATGTATGTAATGTATGTATGTAGGTATGTATGTATGTATGTATGTATGGTATGTATGTATGTATGTATGTATGTATGTAGGTATTGTATTGTATGCACGTATGTATGTAGTAGTCTAGTATGTATGTATGTATTGTATGTATGTATGTTGTATGTATGTAGTATGTATGATGTATGTATGTAGGTATGTATGTATGTATGTATGTATGTATGTATGTATGTATGTATGTACGGTTATATGTATGTATGTCTGCTTATGTATTATGTATATATGTATGTATGGGATGTTGTAGTATTTAATTTTTTGTTTATGTATGTATTTATGGTTTTGTATGTATGTATTTAGGGAAAGGGTTTTAATTTAT